GAATCTGAACTAGATTAGCTATGTAAATATTGTGGCTACAAATGCAGGTCTTGCAGCATGTAGCTTACCTGATTCCACAATGCGCATATCAGATGTGTAGTGGAATACTCTCTCTTTGCCTGAGTGGGTAATAACATCTCAAGTTTCACGTCATCCAGGACAAAGCAGTCCTCTAGGTTGGCAGCACCCAAAAACGTCCACCACTGATGCTCAGTAGTAGCAGTGTGTACCTTTTTAGAAGATGCAGTGCAGAAATTCAGCAAAACACTTTAGACGACACCTTCTAAACCCAAGACAATTTCCATCTAGAAGGACAAGGAGAGCAGATACGTAGGGATACCACCATCTGTTCCCTTCCAAGCCACTTACCATTCTGACTTGTAAATATATTGCTGTTCCTTCAATCTAAGGGTCAAAATCCTGGAACTCCCTCTGTAAGAATGCTCTGGGTCACCTACACAACATGGACTGCAGTGGTTCAAGAAGGAAGCTTACCACGATCTCCTTGAGGGGAACTAAAAGTGGGCCATTAATGCTTGCCCAACCCATGATGCACATATTCCATAAATAAATATCGTAATGTATGAGCTACCTTTTGAACTGCTGCAGTCCTTAGATGTAGGTATACTCATGATGCTGTCAGGAAGTAAGTTGCAGGATTTTGATCCATTTCCAAGTCTCCATGGTGTTTGGCTTGGATGAGATCATGGTACTGTTCCTGTGGATCTCTGACTTTGTACGTCTAAGACATTGAGGATGTTGTTTTTTAAGATGCTGTCAAGGGATCCTTGGTGACATATTGCAGTGCATTTTGTAGCTGATGCACACTGCTACCTCTGTGTTGGTGGTGAAGATAGTGTAGTGGTACAATTCAAGTGGGATGCAATTTGAATATTTGGAGCCTTGGATTGTGAAAACAGATGAGGCTAAAAGGATAGGTGTCATATCTCCTGCACTTGCATGGAAAGGTGCCATTGGAAAGGACTGGGGTGATGGGCGTAACTGAGGTGTAGGCCAGGGTGTCACACCTTGCTCGAGGCCATAAGAACGATGAATAGGCAATTCAGCCCTTCAAACCTCCTCTATTATTTGATACAATTATGGCTGATCTCATCTCAGGCTCAACTCCACTTTCCTGGCCGCTTTCCATAGCCCTTCAGCCCATTACTAGTTAAAAATCTATCTTATCTCCTTCTCTTTAAATTTAGAATCATAGAGTCCCTACAGTGTGGAAACAGGCCATTTGGCCCAACAAGTCCACACCGCCCCTCCGAAGAGCATCCCACCCAGACCCATTTCCCTACCCCTGCATTTCCCATGTCTAACCCACCTAACCTAAACATCCCTGAACACTACTGGCAATTTAGCACGGCCAATCCACCTAGCCTGCACATCTTTGGACTATGGTAGGAAACCCACGCAGACACAAGGAGAATGTGCAAACTCCACACACAGTTGCTCAAAGCTGGAATTGAACCCGGGTCCCTGGCACTGTGAGGCAGCAGTGCTAACCACTGAGCCTCACTGTTCCAATGTTAACTGCTCTCTCAGGTAGTGAATTCCATAGATTCACAATCGTTTTGGAGAAGTCATTTCTCTTTGTCTCTGTCTCTGTTTTAAATATGGTACCCCTTCTGCTAAAACTTGACCTTTCATTCTAGATTGTCCCACATGAGAAAGCATCCTTTCGATATCTACTTTGCTAATCATGCTAATTTTGAGCATATTATCTTGCTCACCAAGGTCACCTGTCATTCTTCTAAACTCCAGAGAGTACAGGCCTAAACTGCTCAATCTGTCTTCGTAAGACGGCCCCCTCATGTTTGGAATCAATCTAGTGAGCCTGCACTGAATTGCCTGTAGTTCAGCTACATTCCTCCTCAAGTAAGGAGACCATATTTGTAAACAGTGCTCCAGGTGTGGTCTCACTAATGCCTTGTGCAGTTGCAGCAACACTTCCGTTCTTTTATGCTCCTTTACTTTACCAACGAATGCCAAGATTCCATTTTCCTTCCTTATTGCTTGCTGTATACTAGTTTTGTGCAATTCCAAATGTCCTGTTATTACTTCCACAGTAATGGATTCTAGCAATTTCCCAATGACGCACACAAAACTAACTTGCTATAGTTAGTTACTTTCTGTCTTGGTCTCTTTTGAATATTAGCATTTTTCTAAACTGCTGGAACCATTCCTGCATCCAAGGAATTTTGGAATATCATAACCAGTGGATCCATGATCTCTGCTGCCACTCCTTTTAATGTAGAGTGTAGGTCATCAGGCCTTCCTTCATTCCCAATAGTTTGCTCAATACTTTTTTTCATAGTGGTGATGATTGTGGGAATGCTGAGACAGGAGAGAATTCATTTATTTTGCTGGATTGGTGGAAATGGTAATTGTGATCCTATGAATATTGAGTCTGATGGAGTATGAAGGAGAAGAAAAGGAAAAACCTTAATTGTAGTTGTGGGAGAGAGGGTTAAAGCAAAATGCAGGAAATGAAATGGTCAAGGTCACTTTGGCCTACACCGCAAGGGCGCTGTCAATATCAGTGAGTGGGAATCCTTCGTTTAGGGCAAGGCAAGATGTTTTGGGAGTGCTAGTATTTTATCAGTGAAGGTGGATATGAGGGTCCAGCGCAAGATTTATTTTATAGTCACTGTCCTTTTAAAAAAAAAAATGTCTGTGCATTTCAACAGTCACTTTGCTGTTGTGCTGTTTGAATATACTCTCTTAAACAGATGCAAGATTCTATTTACAGCATCTGAACTTGATAGTGTCAGCTGTCCTTTCAGTGAGGAATGCAAAAGTCTCGTGAAAATTTTTCAACCAAACCTCATGACCCAGAGTCCACATCACGATGGAGAAATTATAACTGGAGGAAACTAATCCATAAACTGATAAGTGACCTCCTCACTGAAGTGGGGTCCTTACTAATTTCTAATTTTGCACAAAGGATAATATCGCTGTGCCCTAACTTAATTCATACCAATTGATACATATTAACACAAAATCTTCTATATCCACAAGTAAGAGCTGCAACTCTTGTTACAAAATTACCCAATTTACCAACCTGTTAAAAGATTTTTAAAAATTGGCAATTCCAATGAAACTGTTTCATCATCTATTAATTATTATTTTCACTTGCACTCCACTTGTTTCATTTATACTGTAGTCGATGAGTTACTTTTGGACCAGTTTTCTTTTTAGTGGCAGGGATCATTCACGCTCCTCATTTTTAGTCCCCTTTTAAACTTATTAGCATGCCTTTATTGAACAGAAGTTTATACTTTTTGCATGCTAAATCACTGTCTCATTTTCTTTGTGCTATTCAGTGAAGTAGTAAAAATCTTTTCTATATCTTAAAATACAGTTTATTCACCTTGTATTTTAATCGATGCCACATCTTACCTTTTGATTTTGTACTTAAGTTTTTCATCTATTAATGTGATTGAGCTCAGTTGGAATTTCCACTTTGCTGCCTTGAAGTTCAATTTCCTCTCATTTGGAACACTGGTATTTTATTTTAACTACCCATAAAGCATAAATCTGTCCAAGAATGGTGTGCAGCACCAATATTTGGAAGGGCTTCCAAGTTCTGAACAGGTTACTCAAAAGAGAACTTCCATTTTCCTTCTGTTAAATGTTTGGAAGACCGCAACTGTCATATTTGCCCATCACTTAATTTTTCTACCTTTGTGATTGCTGCAATGGGCTAAGCCTGACAATTCATACAGCATCTGTCTTTCTACTCTGCAATTGAGCTATTTCTCCATATCTTCTCCATCCCATAAATTCAGTACTTCACCTGATCCTACTTCAGCCCTTCTATTATCGAAACCCTAGTCAATGATCCAGTTGTCTCCCAAACCTGTGTTCTAGTCTAAAATCTCCCATGTTCCAACCTCTTAAATTCAAGTTCATTGAAACTCTGCTGTTCTTATCTTTCAATTCTGCCCTCTCTTCTGATTTCTAAAATCTTTATAAACAGTGTATGAATGTTTATTCCTTCCCCAATTTTCTTCAGATTTGTGAAATTCAAATTTTGTCAGTTCTGTATTATTTTCTTGACCTACCTGTCTACCTTCTGTGCTATGTCTCTTGCTTTTTTTTGTCTCCATCTTGATTTCTTGAAGTACAATTTCACTGTTCTCCACATTGTCAAAACATACTAGGCATCTGTTAAACATAGAAAAATAGTTGTCTGCAGAGCTTGTGGACTTCTCAGCTACATAATTGATTCAGTCTCTGGATTATAATGATATGGAGCAAGAGAACAGAAGATTGAGAATATTTAAATATTCTTATATTTAATGATCTAGATTGCTGTATTTGTTCCAGAACTGCAATCAGGAAAGAAAATACTTCAAGCTTTATAATTTTAAAAATGTTCACATTATTTGGGGAAGTCTGTAGATGGTTGGTAAAACAACTTATTGCCATTGTCTGAAAGATAAATAGTTTAGAACTTAGTATGTATACTCTGCTGTCAATTATTGACCATTGAATCTTCTGCATCATCTATATTGAGAAGTGATGTGACCATTGAGCCTTCTTGCTTAGTCAGTGAATAAGACCAGACAAAGACACGTTCTGCTTTATACAAATTCGTTATAGTGAGGAAGTGTTTGTTTATTTGTGGATTAGTGCTCAAGGTGGAATTCATTGCAATGCAGGGTAAACCATCATTTCTGCAACTCCAAGTTTCTTTGCTGTCATACCATGTACCTGCTTGACAAAATGTAATATTTTTAGGCTTTAAACAAGATTGTACAATATGTTTCATGAATTTCACTCTTGATGCCTCCTCTTTGTCTTGCTTTTAATTTTTGTCATTTTATGCTTGGGATGTTTCCTGCATTAAAAGCGTTACATAAATACAAGTTGATAATTTTATATCTTGTTCTGCACAGCATTTGTTCTTCAAAGGAGATATAAAGCTTAATATATTTAGTGAGTAGATTAAAGCCATAATTTGTTTTTTGTTTCTCTCCATTCTACAGTTTGCTTTGAGATTAGTAGCATTCCGTCAGATTCACAAAGTTCTTGGAATGGATCCATTACCTCAGATTAATCCACGTTTCAATGTACGTAACCGAAAGAGGAGGAGGGACAACAGTGATGGCACTGATGGATTGGAAGCAGAGGGAAAGAAGGATAAAAAAGATTTTGACAGTGGGGAATTTTAAATCGTTATACATAGTACTCCAGATTGTTAATACATTGTTGACTTTCTGTGAACTTGGCAGAAAGCAATGTCTGATTTTCTAAGTTTCGATTTATTTTAAAAATAGTTATGGTAAATGTAAATAAAGTACTCATCTGCTTTACACTTTAATGGCATGTTGTTTAAGCATATTTAAACCGATTGTTAATGGTCCTATTTGTGACATTTATCGAGAACTACTTAACCTTTACATCATTTGTCTAATCGTTAGCACAAAACCAATTTTATACACTTAGCAGTTCTAATGTAAACAGATACCCATATTATTTTCAACTTGCATCTGGTTTAAAACATTAAAAATGGGATGGAGGGCCGTGTAGAGTTTGCAATATACCATAGATAGCAGTGCTTCTCAGCACTTGCAACTTCAGTTCAACTAAACGTGTGCTTTTGCAGAACCTGTGACTTCTCTGTCAAGTATAAAGATGGATGTGAATAAGAACCAGTTTCTTTGGTTTGTTCGTTCTTGTCAGCTGTGCATCAGCATAAAAAAAGCAGTTCTGTGTGTGGGCTTGCCAGCGATTTTAATGCAGTGCTTTTACAGTCATTCCTAGTAAATCTGCTTGCATGACTGAGCTGTAGCCTTGGAGGTTTGTGTTGTAGCAATGCTTTTATAAGACTAACAGTTTCCATGTTTTTTTTTGTTTTCAGTGGTAAGGATGGTGTGTAGTTGTTTTATATGGTTTAAGAAAGTAGTAACTATATGCTCGTATGCAGTTGATGTGATGAACAGTTCTGTTGTAATTGAAGTTGAACTGTCCCCCTGATGTATACTTTGTCACTTCTTACCGCATCAATAAAACTTAGAGGACATTATATTTTCATGTTTTGTGTTGCTTAAGTTTTGATCTTTGCACTTCCTGCATTTTGGACTGTCCAGAAGCACCATCAGCATATTGAATGTGTAAAATTTAAGTATCTTTTGTAATTAAGTATTCAAAGTAAAAATTCCAGATGATGTGCAGCAAAATAAAGATATATTTTTGTCTTAAAGGGAGGTAATTAACTAATTGGCAGTGTATGGTGTCATACAATACCTCTGTTAAATTTCTAAAGCCTTTTTTTGTCATCAGTTGCTATTCTTAGAAGAAAAACAGTTTTGAAATAACTTCTTTATGTATTACAGGAAATCTACCAGCAATGATTGTTTACTTTGTGAAATTTAAATTGATTGTAAGAAATAGGCATAGATACATCACCGCTGACAACAGGATTGACAAAACGTGTGCTGAATACTCTTGTGATATGACATTTGGCCATTGTCGTTCCTCCTTAAAACAATGGTTTTCTCAAGTCACCCAGAATTCTAAATAGAGATTCAGTAATTAAATCTGAATTAAAAGGTTAACCATGAATCTGTAGAAACTAATCTGGTTCATTAATCACTTGTAGGGAAGGTTACCTGATACACCATACTTGTGACTATAGCAACATGGTTGACTCCAAAATATCCTCTGAAATGGCTTGTCGAGCCACTCAGTTGTATTTAACTGCAACAAAGTCAAAAACAAATGGAAGTAGGCATACCACCAGGCATAAACCTAGGTGCGCACAGCCTAGTCACCTCTCCAAAGTCTTTATTACTGACATGTGGAGGCTTGTTGCAAAATTTGGAGAGCGTAACATCCATATGTCATGATTCAGTGAGTATGATTATGTCCCAAAAATGACCATCGCCATACCTGGGTATGTTTTGACACACACCAGCAGTACAGACTCCTCAGGAGTGATGTTGTAATATTGAATCTTGACCCCATGAGGTCTCATGGCATCGGGTCAAACGTGGACCGGGAAACGTCCTACTGATTACTCCTGAATGCCCTCAGTTGATGAATCAACACTGCTTCACCTCGAACACCAATTGGATGAAACTCTGAGGATGGTAAGGGTACAAAGTGTTCTCTGGTGGAGACTTCAGTGTCCATGACCAAGAGTGGTTTAGTGGAACCATAACTGGGCAAGTTGGCCAAGTTTTAAAAAAATAAAGCTGATGGACTGAGTCTGTGTCTGGTGGTGGAGAAAGCCTACTTGAACTCATCTTTATCAGTCTACCTGTCACAGATGTATCTGTTTCTTATTTTAGAATCTCTACAGTGTGGAAACAGGCCTTTCAGCCCAACAAGTCCACACTGACCCTCAGAGCATCCCACCCAGACCCATTCCCCTAATCTACACATCCCTGAGCACTATGGGTAATTTAGCATGGCCAATCTATCTCGCCTGCACATCTTTGGACTGTGGGAGGAAACCAGAGGAAGCCCATGCAGACATGGGGAGAACATGTAAACTCCACACAGACAGTAACCTGAGGGTGGCATTGAACCCGGGTTCCTGACGCTGTGAGGCAGCAGTGCTAGCCACTGTGCTGCCCAATTTATGAGACTGTTAAAAGAACTGATGGACACAGAGACCTGACTTCATGTTTAGGATACCCTCTGTTGTGTGGTACCTATGTTCTGCTAAATGGGACAGATTTCAAACAGATCTAACAACTCAAAAGTGGGGCATCCATAAGGCATTTATGGGCCTTCAGCAAGAGCTAGGTATGATTTAATCTTGTGATCTGAAACCCCATGACCCCCATTGTACCATGATCATCAAGCTAAGGATCAAATCTGGTTGAATGAAGAGTGCAGGACCAGCAGCATAGAAATACCTAATAATGAGGTATTCACCTACTGAAGCTCAGACCCAGACCTACTTGCATGCTATTAAAAAAATGGAAGTAGTGTGATCCCACAACTAATTGATCATATTTTGGCTGTGAAGTCTTGCTATGTTCAGTTACAAGTCGTGATGGATGGTTAACCAATGGAAGAAGGTGGCATCACAAATATTCCCTTCCTGAATGATGGAGAGTCCAGCACATCAGTGCAAAAAACTGTTTGGAAGCTTTTGGAGATATCCCCTGGGAGTGCCAAATGGATGTTGTGTCTTGGGCACCTGAGGTCGCCAGCATCACTCATGCCAGTCCCCAGTTAACTTGATTCATTCCAGTCTTGTGCTCGAGAACTGGCTGCGCCCTTAGACATTCCAACACAGCTACAACACTGGCATTTAGATAGCAATCTGAATTTTATTTGGGGTGGGGGCAGGGTATTGCTGGCTGAGCTAGCATTTATTTCCCATACTTAGTTCATTACTCTGGAGAAGGTAGCTGCTTTGAGCTGTAGTCCTTCAGGTGTAGGGACACCCACAATACTGTAAGGGAGTTCTAGGATTTTGACTTGCAAGAGTGAGGGAATGATGATCCAATCCAAACACCGTCCTGACTTGGAATTGTTGGGAAACTTGCAGCTGGTGATGTTCCCATGCTGCTTCTGCCCTTGTCCTCCTAGTTGGTAAAGTTTGAGGGTTTGGAAATTGTTGCTAGATGACCCTTACTGCAGTGCAGCCTGTAGATGATATACGCTGTGTTAGTGGTAAAGAGTGTGAATGTTGAAGATGATGGAATGAGTTCTGTTGAAGTGGCCTGCTTTGTCCTGGATGGTGTTAAGCTGCTTGAGTGTTGGAGCTTTTAGTGGTATGGGCTGTCAAACACGACCTAGCTAATTCCCACACCACTAGTCCTGTCTTTGTCATAAGCAATGTTATGGAAAGTATAATTGACAGAGGCTTCTATTTCAAAATTAATGATTGTCCTTTTAGATGAGGGTGGTTTGACTTTGAAATACTGCTTCAGAAGGCAGTGGAAGCATTAATATTTTTCAGGTTGAGGTGGATAGATTCTCAAGGCAGGGTGTGAAGGGTTGTTGGGGATAAATGAGAATATGGAATTCTAAGCAGATCAACCTCAATCTTATTGAATAGCTGAGCAGGCATGAGGGGTTGAATGCCTCTATTTTATATGTTCCACAGAGCTAATTTACTGGGAGCACAGTAATCAGCTCACTAATGCTTATTTCAGGTCTGTGCAATATCTGGTCATTGCATCTTGGACCAAACATAGACAAGAGAGCTGAATTCCAGAGGTGAGGTAACAGTGACTGCTCTTGACATCAAGGCAGCATTCAACTGAGTATGGGATCACAGAACCCGAGCAAAATCATGAAAACCCTCTGCTGATTGAAGTCATACTTAGCAGGAAAAGAATGGTTATGGTTAATCACCTCAGTTTAGAACATTGGTGTAGAAATTACTGTGGATAGTATTTTTTTAAACTAACTGTACAAATGTTTTGTGACATACCTTTGGAGTAGATGGGACATAAACCCAGGCCTTCTGGCTCAGAGGGAGGAACACTATCACTTAACCAAAAGATCCCTCCAAGTTCCTGAGGACAGTGTCCTAGATCTAACCATGTTCAGCTGTTTCATCCATGACTTTCCATCTATCATAGGAGGTTGAAAGTGGAGATGTTTACCAATGTTTGCTACTGGACATTACACATTCATGATTCCTCCAATTCTGAAGCAATCTGTGTTCCTTTGCAACAAATCCTAGAAATATTCAGGCTTAAGTTGATAAATGGCAAATAATTTGTTCCACAAGTGCCAGGCAATGTCTGTCTGATACAAATGGGAATCTAACTTTCTCCTTACACATTCAGTGACATTAAAAAGAAAATAGGAGAAGCATTTGGCCCTTTGAGACAGCTCTACCATTCAATATGATCATGGCTGATCATCCAACTAAGTATCCTGTTTGCATTTCTCCCCATACCCTTCAATCATTTTATTACTAAGAAGTATCCTAAATCCTTCTTGAAAACATTCCGTATTTTGACCTGAGATAGTAGGAACTGCAGATGCTGGAGAATCTGAGATAACAAGGTGTAGAGCTGGATGAACACAGCAGGCCAAGCGGCAGCAGAGGAGCAGGAAGGCTGATGTTTCGGACCTAGACCCTTCTTCAGAAAAGAAGACCTTTCTGAAGAATGGTCTGGGCCGGAAACGTCAGCTTCCTGCTCCTCTGCTGCCGCTTGGCCTGCTGTGTTCATCCAACTCTACACCTTGTTATCTA